AGAGGGATGAGGAAGAAGCAGGTGTTTTAAACCAGCCTTTGCAACTATGCGACCCCTGAGGGCTTTCTGCAATGAACTGGGATTACCAATTGCCTGCTGAGCCCATGTCTTCCTGCCTTGAACCTCCATTCAAGAAAACACGGACTTATAAAGTATTGGTTTACAGTAACTCTTTTGATGTTGATGAAAGTTGTAAATTCAAGGGGAAAACTGTGTTGGTTATTGCCACTTGAGTCATACAGTTACGGTTGGCCTACTCTTAAGCCTCTGTTTACAGCTACCATCAAACTCATCATTTACAAGGTACAGGAGCACGTAGGTAGATTTGCCTCTTTGTCTTTCATGGTATCTAGTCCCATATTCCTTTTCACCCCCACCCTACTCTGATTTTAAGAAAAGATGTTATTACCAAAGGTGTGTGAAAGGCATGCTATGCTGGCCAGCAGCTTCAGCCTGGAGAAGCCATCCTTGAATCCTGTTAGTGTGTCTTAAGTTTATTTTGACAGTTGTTTTTTCCAGCCCATGAAAACTCAGTCCTTTTGGTATATTACTTTCCTTGGACAGGTTTATGCACTTTTATAAGTAAATATATTTTTTAGGACACTAGCAAGAAGCACAGTTCACAATTTTGATGCTTCTCCCACTTTACAGAATTATGCAAAAGAACTAAAAAAAAAAAAGCCTAGTAGGAGTGAGTCCTACTTGACCTCGGTGACTGTGTGACCCACTGGGATAGTTTCAGCAGTTATAAAATTGTGCTGTTCCTACATGCCCAGCTTTGTAAGTTTTGTAGGTTGGGTCTCTGGGCACATTCCGTTTGTCTTTCCTGCCTATAAGTCACAGGGTTTTTTTGCTGATACTCATAGGGAACTAAACTGGGTACTAGGTGCTGCCTTTGTGTGACAGAGATGTAGGTGGCAGAGTCAGTTCTAAAAGAGAGTGCACCTATTCCTGGCCATTCTCCCAGGATGAGGACTTCCAGGGCCTGGAGGACGGTGGCTTCTGTGTGACTGCTCCTGTGTTGTGGATAGACATATCAGGAAAAGATCTTGTAACTTGAAATAAAGTCTGTGCAAAATCAGTATGTGGATGTGGGAGAGAGGTTGGAAGGAATGGACTAGGATCTGGAAAGCTTAAGAACTTCTTTTTCTTAGGAGTGCCTTGTTGATGTTACAAACAGCCACAGTCAAAGGTCAGATTTAAAATACAAACCCACAGCGTTTTTTATATGAGTCTATTGGACGGCATTATTTGAACTGGCCTTCCTTGTTAGGTCACATATCATAGGGAGCTTGTATTGCCAGATATGCACATTCATTCCCAAAGCCTTTACCTCAAAAGAATGGAACTCTCACTTGTTTTCTAGGGAGGTGTATGGACAAAGGAATTTCTTTATTACAGCTTCAGCTTCCAACTGGGGTTGTTGCCTGTAACAAGGAGAGGGCTGTGGAAGTGCAGGATTAGAAGTCTCTCTTCTGGGGCCGCTTTTCTTTCATCTCCAGTAGCTTGTCCAAGCTCAGAATTATAAAGGCTGTTGGAAATGTTCTGTGATAGACATATCAGGAAAAGATCTTGTAACCCGAAAGAAAGTCTGTGCAAATTAAGTATGTGGATGTGGGAGAGAGGTTGGTAGGAAAGGTTGTGATTGCAGAGAGAGACATTTTCTAGATCTGGGTATTGTCACAGAGTACAGTGGGTTCTTGTGTGCTCCAGTCAGGAAAGTGCTACCGGGATCCAGATCTAGCCATTTCTTCATCCTGGAGGCTAGCTCTTCTGACACCAGGACAGGCTATAACGCTAGGTGGTGCCGTCCAAAGGGCTTGTCTTTCCGTCTGGGGCTCCACTTTGGATGTCACTCTTCAGAGTACTGTCACAAGGCATATTTAGGCAGGACTATAAAATGTTCCTGCCAAGTGAGCAGTGAACCTGAGGGCTGGATTTTCTAGAGTGTGCTTACTCCAGGATCAGAAAGCAGCTCGCAATACGACCCCTTTTTAAATGCTTAGGCTGATGCTTCCAGTGGCTCCTCTTATAGCTCAACTCTTCATCTGTTTTGTTGTGAGATGGGAACACAGCTGTTATCCAGATCACAGGCTCAGCTATAGTTAGTGTTGGCCAGTTTCTTAGCAAAAAAGGCATTTGGGTCTCGTTGGACCTTGACCAGGAAAGGCTGGGAGCTATCTCATAGGAGAGGGTCTGGGTGCCAGCCAGGCTGGACACCATTACCCTTTAATGGCGAGGCTGTTATTTATAAGTGATCACTTTGATGTTGAATTTCAGTCATTATTCTGTTGAAACTTTTTTATTGGCAACTGGAAGTTTGAGAATTTTTATAGAAACAGAACATACATTTTTACCGGTTGCCAATTCTTTTCTCAGTGTTAGTTTATTAGGGATTACTTTCTGATTTTTGTGGTTATTGAACTCTAAAACGCTAAGATGAAAATTATTTTATTTTTTGCTCTTCAAAGAGAAAAACATAAAAATAAAGGAAATGCCTTTTCAGTTTCTCCAGGCCACAGGTCTACAGCAGAAAACTTGATGGGCACAGCCTAGGCTAAGCACCTGCAACTTTGGGTCTTTGGGCCACTTTCTGCTTACAGCAGATGATTTTGGGGGGGTTATATTAGGTCAAATAAAACAAAATCATCAAAGGCCGAACCTTTGTAGCACCTCGGTTTCCAAAGTTAAAATAGCTGGGATCTTTTAAATTCAGGTTCTAATGCTAACTCTATGGCTTAAAAATGTTTTTAGTGAAATACTAAACATTTTTCAAATTGTGTATTGTTACAATGTCAAAGTTTTGTCTTGATTTCGGAGAGGCTTAGAAGTAAGGAGGTCAGTTGGATACTCTGGCAATGATATGTCAGAGAGGAAAGTCGTTTGAAGTAGCCAAAGGAAATAGCTTGACTGAATCTTCTTATATTAGTGCTGTTGCAAACACTGTAGAAACATTAGGAGCCAGGAATCTACCTGCTCAATTGGAAGGGGCAAGTGGTCTTCGATAAGGTACCAGCAAATGAATGTTCCTTGGTTTAGGTGATGCTGAGGTACGGGAACAGACAGAAAAGACCAGACATTTAACTAAGATGTGGAGATACCCCCCAGCACTGTCCTTGGGGATAATGCAAACCTCATTTGTTAGGAAGTGGGTGGGAAGAACAGGAGAGGTGACCCAGGTCTGCTGTGCACTGGGAACCTTCATTTCCTCCTACCTCTGCTTGCGGTTCCCAAGTGAATCATTGCCCCCTCGTTGCCCATGGGGATCCTTAGTTCTTCTGGTCCCTCTGCTTTGTAGTTCAGAGTGCTTTCTTCAGCCACTGCTCTGCTGTCGTGTGAATTTCATTCAGACTTGGTTAGTCACAATTTTGAAAGTCCCCCCCCCCGCCCCCACCTTGCTTTTAATCTTCTGTTTTTATTTCTCCCATCTTGCAGCTGTAATTGGTGACAAGGAACAGGGCAGTAGGAGGCTGACTGAAGGCAACACTCAGGTTTTATGCTTGCCACTTGACCTTCTGCCTACCTGCCTACAGACAGCCAAGTACACTGAATTCCACAAGGTGTCAGCCAAGAGTCACCACCCCACCCCAGGGGATAAAAAAGAAATCTGCAAAGGGACAGATGCACCATCTTTATTCTAAAAGAAAAAGCCCCCTTAGATTTTGTTATTACTAGGAGGCTCATTTTTGGGACTACTACTTACAGGTGACCTTTTATTTTATAATGAAGAAACATCCTAGGCAGTTTACCATAAAATGGTACAGTGTTTTCTCTCTGAACTCAACACTAAGTGATAATCCTGCCCTTGATTGTGAACCTCAGGAATGTTTAGTGCTTGATGGGTTATTCGGGAGGCAGGGTTGTTTAAAAAAAATTATTGAGGCATATTTTACATATAATAAATCCACCCATTTCAAGTGTTAAATTGAATGATTTTAGTAACTTTCCTGAGTGGCACAGCCATACCCGTAACTGTTTTAGAACATTTTCATCCACCCCAATAAGATCCTTCATTTATTGCACAGTAATCCCTGTTCCCAGCTCTAAGTGACACTAATTTCCAGCTCTATAAACTTGCCTTTTCTGGACATCATGTCAATGGAATCATACAAAATCTGTTCTCTTGCCTCTGGCTTTTTTCACTTAGCATATTTTGTGGTTTATACATGATGTTTAACTTGTGTTGGTAGTTTGTCCCTTTTTATTGCTATAGTATTCCATTGATAGATATACCACATTGTGTCAGCAAGGAGTCCTTGAAACTTGGATTTCAGCCTCCCGTGGTCTAAAGGAACCCTTAGGACACAGGACTCCAGGGGAAGGTGCTCTTCACGTCCAAGGAACTGCTTATCAGAACCAGCTTTGTTATCAGGAGCTCGAGACATTAGGAGCCTGAACTGCTGCAGAAATTTTTATAGTTTTGCAACTTTTTTATAAGAAACTCTTTTGCTATCTACATGTCAGTACTTTTGAAGCATCTGGTAATTAATTTATTCTGAAGTAGGAGTATGTGTTTGAGTGGACAAGAAAGTGAACCATCAGTAATACTGTGTTGGAGATGTTTTTCCTCCCCAACTGGATAAGGGAGTCTCTGAAATTTCTAAACAGTATCATCTCCATGGATGGAGAGGAGGACCACCATCAGAGGAGGTGCAGAGGAGAAAGTGCAGCTGGTGGAACAAGAAGCCCAGAGATCTCTGCATGCCCCCCTCTCTTGGTGTGGGTGGTAAAGCGTTGATGGTGTCCACAGGCAGCTTAGCACCTCCAGCAGGCCTGGGTCTTGACTTTGGACCTTTATCCCTGTTTCAAAGGGTTTAAAAGCTGTTTTTGTCTCTCCCCCTTAAATATTATATGGTAGTTATTAATACTTCTTTAGGGGAGAAGCAGGGCTTTAAAATAATTTTCATAAAAGTATCAGAAATAGGAAAAAAAGTTACTTTAAAAATTTTGCTATACAAACCAAATGGCAGCTGTTGAAAATATTAATAAAATGAGAAAAAAATGCATTTTCTGGCAGTGGAACTCTTTTTCCTAAGGTTGGGTTATTATATAATCGCACTATACAGGTGGTGGTATACGTGTGTGTGTTTGCGAGAGATTTTTTTTGCCTCAAGATTGATCATAGTTTTAGTTGTATAATTTTCCATTCCAAACAGTGTTATAATATTAAGCATTGCCCTGTGTGAATGCCACCTTCTCCACTTCCTTTGTGTTTTCGGTCTGAACTTGTTTATAAAGCTGACACACCTCCTTCCTAGGGCCAATGTGACAATTAGACTAAATTTAATTTCAAAATACTTCCTTAATATTTGGTAGCAATAGTGGTAATACTATGTACAGCTCTGAACAAATAAATTGTAACAGGAAAACCTTGGGTTTGAAGAGAAACTGGATAGCTGTTATTTTTCCTGTTTCTGGGCAAAACTGACTCTTATCTAGAAAATAAGGATTCTCTATCTGCCTTTCAAATATTGAACAAGTTTGAGAGCCTGCTAGGTCCTAAGCACTGTCCTAGGTGCCAGTGCTACTGTGGTAACAACCTATGTGCAGGCACTAAAAAAAAAAAAAAAAAATCAGTCATGATGTGCTCTTGCTCTGCCTAGAATAACTGATACATTAAGTTTGAGAACTATCCAGGATATAATCCATGCCTTCTAACAGCTTACACTCTCAACACCTAGAGAGGAGGCCACTATTAATCAAGGACTTCAGCCTTCACTAAGCAGTATGGTCAGCAGAACAGGAAACTTGGGGCTTGTCAAACTACATTATCCAAAGGACAGGAATCGTGTCTCCTCTTCACTGATGTTCACCTTTCCCAGTGCTACACAACAGATGCAAAGTGTCATGCTGTAACCAGAGCCAGGCTATCCCAGGTAGGCACCTAGTTAAATTGTATCTAGTTGGCCTTGGATCTCAGCCATCCTCATAACCTCTCAAAGGACTCATTTACGCAGAAAACTGCAAAATGTGCTGCTCACCCCTAAGTACCAATCCTCACAGATGAGATTTGCATCCTGTCCCCTAAATTCTATGTGGCACTCTCAGGAGAGGGTGTGGTGTGTCTAAGGTCATTCCCAGTGATGTTTTGCACGGAGAACATTTAGTTCCACTGAAACGCTCTGGCAGAGATCATTACCCACTTTGACAGAAAATGGAGGACACAGGTTAACTGGCAGCAGCAGCAGGAGTATGCTAACACTGGGGGAGGGGTGGCACACAGATAAACTCTAAGTCCAACTGCAGGCCAAGCACTGTAATCCACAGGCCAAGCACCTGGGGGTGGGTCTTTAAACCCTGTACTAAACCCATTCCCGAGCCCTCTGGACCACCTGCAGGCAGGTGCACTGAATGTACATAGCAAGTGTGCGTCACAACACAGTCCAACTGGGGAGTGGGTAAAGTGCATTTATTTTCTCTGTTTTTCCTTTGGGGAAAAAAAAGGAAAGGAAAGAAAAGCCCCTTCCCTCCCAGCACCCATTGTCCACTGGCCACGGAGGGGGTGGAGCCAGGGCCAGCCCCCTAGGAGAAGGTATAAGAGTAGAAGGCAACGGCATTGACACTGTAGTCCAAGGGGAGGAGGTGCCCGATGTGCCTGGCCCCTAGGCTGGCACCGCCCAGGGCAGAGGAGTGATTGAGCTTCATCAGGGTGAAGCTGGAGAAGGAGTTCTGAGCCTGGATCTCTCTGCCCTGGGTCAGCGCCAACAGGAAACCTGGAGGAAAAGAGTGCAGAGGACAGATGAAGGAGACCAACGGCCTGTGATGGAGCCCACGGTGGGGACAAAGGTCGAGGAAAGAGGCCCGCGCCCTGAGGCATTCCCGTACAGGTCCTAGGGGACCCACATGCCAAATCCCAACAGGTGTGCACCAGTGCGTGAGCCCAGTAACGCCTGGGGAACTGGAGCCAGCTGTCCCCAGTGCCCGATGCCGGGAGCTCCAAGGAGCAAGGGCCCTTGAGCTACTTCAGAACCTAATGGAACCAGAGTAGCCCAAGGCGGCAAGGGCCAGAAGGCCCGTTTCGTTCCTTCTGGCTAGGACACTGTTGAGACGAGGGATGTCACCACACGTTGGTCTGAAGCTCTGATTTTAAGTTAGATTTGTCTTTAATTTTTTTAAAAAATGGTGTTATTTAATAAATCCTTTGGAAAAGAGCATCTTTTTAAGAATTCAAAGAAGCTGGATGGGACCTTGTACGAGGGCTCCCTGGCAGACTGAAGGCTGAGGGCCTGGAGCTGAGGCATTAGTGGCCTCAGGACCCAAGTCCTCCCTGGAGCCGAGAGCTTTCCTGAGCCACCTCTTCCCGCACCATCCCTCACCCTTGGCCCTCTCCAACCGCCCCCCCCCAACACACACACACACACACACTCACCTTCCTTCAGCAGCTCCCAGCTCTTCCACACAGAGCCCACACACAGGATGGGGAGGCCAATCTCCCCTTTGAACAAGACCTGGCCAGAGAGCAGAAATGGACAGTGGGGGTGACCAAGTCTCCGATGCTGAAGGGGATAATCTTAGAACCAGCGCTCCCTATCCCACTAGTCGAGAACCAGAGGTGAACTCAAGGGGGGGTAAAAGGAAGGAAAACAGGGAGATTCACAAAGGCAAGGGGGAGAGGGGAAAGGAAAAAGCATTGAGCAGCAACAGAGGAAGGAGCAAGAAGAGAGGGAAATGGGCAGAAACATGACTGAAACGGGGGAGCCCATTACCACATTGAACCAATGCTCTACATATAAAGAAAGATCACGGACCAGCCACAGGCAGGACGCACTGGACCAAAGAACTTATTTTGTGTTATAGACATTCTACAAAATTTTTCTCAAACCCAAGTTTTCATTTAAAATCATATCCAATTTACAGAGTTCGATGGAACTGTCTCACCTCTCGTGGGAAAGGGCCAAACCTGTCCCACAGCTCCCACCTCAACTCACCGGGTCAATCTCAGGCAACACTGCCACCACGTGCCTGCCCAGCATCTCCCCAGCCTTCCTGAAGATGTACCGGGAGAGGGGGTCTCCCTGCTGAGCACCTGGGGAGGGGAGGGGGAAGGGAGCGGTGAGTTCCTAGGGAGCTGCCAGTGCTCAGTTCCCGCTCTCTGGGGCAGGGCAGCAACAGCTAGGTCTAAGTCGGGAATGATGCCCACCTCAGGGCATGTAGGCAAGTCAGCCTCCAAAGCTGCCACTCCACCCTTACTTCCCCCACCCCTACTAGGCCCTTCTCCCTAGGAAGGGTGTCCTGGATGGAGGTGGCTCGTTCTAGGCACTTGAGAAGGGAAGCCCCCCACTAGAGAAGCACCCTGGCCCCGGGCTCACACTCCGGCTTACACGGAGTTATGGAGTCTGTCCCAGAAGGTCTCGGCTCTGGGGACTCAGGACTCTACTTGAGCAGCTGGCTGGTGCTCCTGTCAGGGCCCCCCACCCTCCTTCAACAGTCTGCTATTGGTCAGCTCCTTCCCAGCTCTGTTCTGAAGAGGCCTCCTGCCAGCAGGATCCTCCAATGCCCTGAGGCTGCAGGAATCCAATTTAAGGAAGTGTGGACTGTACAGTGGAGAAAGAGTGGGGTGCAGACAAGTAAGCCCTATGGTTCAGCTACTCCTGACACCCAACCAAACGTGCCTAACTGCTCCAGGATACTCTAGTATTCTTTGGGTACCATTGGTTTAAAAAAAGTTACAGATTTGCCCAAAGGACAAGTGCTTCATAAATTTTTCAGAAATGGACATACAGCCTGCACAAGCCACGATAGCTGCCAAGAGAAACAGGTAGCATAAAACAGCTGTCAGTACAACTGTGTGGCCCGCCTCACCCCAAGGCCCATGGTGGCAGAGAACTGAGGCCACGTGGTCAAAGGGAGATCAAACTGGCTGCCAGTCCTCATCTGAACCTTCCTCCACGACGGCCCCTTCCCACCCGGGGAACAAATCCCGCCCCACCTCCAGTACCTTCTGCAATTTTCCGGCAAAACCCAGCAAACCTGGATTTATCAAAGTCCCTATACAGGTGTACGAGGATTCCTAGCCGGTCTGGCACCTGAGAGGCAGAGAAAAGGTACAAGACAGTCGTCAGAAGCAAAGGAAAATCCTCCGTCTGCCCATCCAAGGTGACCTTCCTCATGTCTCTACTGATTGAAAAGGTGGAACGTTTGTTCTTTTAAGCTCTAGGGCAGTGGTTCTCAACCTTCCTAATGCCGCGACCCTTTAATACAGCTCCTCATGTTGTGGTGACCCCTGATTTCATTGTTACAAGTTGAACATAATTAAAGCATTGTGATTAATCACAAAAACAATATGTAGTTATATATGTGTTTTCCGATGGCCTTAGGCAACCCCTGTCAAAGGGTCGTTCGACCCCCAAAGGGGTCGCGACCCACAGATTGAGAACCGCTGCTCTAGAGAGAATGCAAGGATTTGAGATTTCTCATTTAAGAAAAGTTCTTTGTTCTCCCAACACAAGCTCCATTGCTCCTTACAGATTAGTTTGGACAGAGCACAGATCTCTGCTCACTGAAGTGTGTTCTGTAGTTCCCTGAGGTGTTCGTGAACGGATTTATTTGATCAAAGGGCTCTAAAGACTACTGCACACTGTAACTCTCCCTTAGGGATTCACAGTGCACATTAGCAAGTTAAACGCTCTGAGAAGTCCTGAACCAAGAAATCTATTTGTTTCCCCCAAACTTATTTGGCCACAGAAGGTCCTTCTTCTATCCCAACAAACTTAACAAACCAGTAACACCGCTGAAGGTCCCGAGGAACCAGTGATTCCCCAGATACATCACTAAGATGGAAGAAGAGGGGCTAAAATGTGAGCTCCTACAGCAATGTATTACTATTATAAAGAGCACTTACTTACTCTCTACAATGACCTTATAAAAATGACCAAAGGATAAGAGAGGATTTAGAACCAGTTGCTGAGTCAGCATACCTTACCCTCCACTTCCTATTCCTATTCCTGCTTGGCCCCGTCCAGTTTCTCTATAACCATCAACCTATGAGTCTTGAAAATACAGATCCTACCTCCTATATTTCTAATCTCTTTCCCAGACCCCATCCCCAGCTCACCTAAGTGGCCCTCACCCAGAGAGATGTCTATTACATCTATATTCTCTTCCTTCTCCTCTTCCCACCTTTTACCTCCAGCTCAGATAAACTCAGCTATTTCCAAACCCACTACAAATAAGCACAGCTGAGAAGGAAGGAAAATCAATCCCGATAGCCTGGGTAGGAGGCCATACCTTCCTGAGAACTCTCCCCGTCCACCTCCTAATGCCTCTCCTCCCTGACCCACACAGGCCGAAACAGCTCGCTGTCTAACGTATCTGTTCGGACTTTACCCCCGTCTTTGTCTGTGAGCACTGTTTCCTGATCTCATTCTGCACTCCTCATTCCAGCTTAGAATGTCATCTGCCTTCACCTCCCAGCAGGGTCCAGCTGCCCAAGAATGAAGTGTGGCTAACCACCCATCCCTAACCTACTCCTCCCTCATGCCTGATACCTTCCTGGAATGTACCGCCACATCGATCCAAATCCTGTCCTCACCTATGACTTCTCTATCCTCTAGCTCCGACCCACGACTCACCCCGACTTTCCTTTGGCTCACCCAGTCCCTCTCTTGCATCACTCCTGCTCAGTCTCCCACTGCCCTACCCCAGGTGTGCATGTGTACCAGGGGCAGGGGGAGTACCTGGAAGTAGCTGAACATGGCCTGTTTGACGTAGCCAATGTCATGAGGAGCTGCCTCCAGGTTGTCGATGGAGTCGAACACTATTTTCACTGCCTGGTGTGCAATCCAGTAGGCTGTGGAGAGCAGAGAGGGCTAGAAGAGGGGGCAAGCTCCCCAAGCTCACAGGGAAGGAACCTCAGACCTAGACAGGGTTCGCAGTCAGCATGGATACGATAGCAAGTTAGGTGCCCTGATTCCCAGACAGGTGGCCTCTAATTGAACTGCATCTGATGGATCACATAAGGGAAAGCTGGAGGGGGAAGACAGAACAGATGATGCTGTGTCACACCAGCTGCTAGGAACTGGACCCCAAGGGCCCCTATGAAAACCTACACCTGCTGCCTATAAAGATGTGATAGCGGGAGAAGCTTCTATGTCCCCTTCCCATTAGCAGAAGAGCAGAGCATCTCCTGGCCTCCATGGTCTTAACCACATAGTGTCAATTCCTCCCCAGGGCTCCAAAGCCAACACACGTAGTCAGCAGCTATGATGCTGAGGCGTGAACCTGAATCCGGGGTGCATATCACTGCTGAAGAGCAAGGCAGCCACTTGTCCAGCATTTGCATCTCTACGCTCTCTCAGTCACTGTTTTGTACTCAGGACCGTCGACTCAGGAGCTGTCCCCAGAAAGCCCCAAGGGGTCAGCAGGTTGAGGGCAAGAGAGAAGATTGAAGAGCTGCAGGCAGGGAAGGTCCAGGACCCTGAGCCAGGCCCAGTCGGTGTGAGCTCACCTGAGCCCTCGTCCCCCATCATGTGGCCCCAGCCGCCGCAGCCACTCTCAGAGCCATCTGGGTTGATGAGCCTGCAGTTGGAGCCTGTCCCAGAGATGAGCACGATCCCACCTGGGGAAAGGGCACACGGGGCTCAGTGTGGCCAACGCACTGCACACAGCGAGCGCACAGCTTCCAACTGAAGAAAGGATAAACACCAGCCCGGGCCAGGGATCGCCACCCAGCCCTGCAGAGAAAACTGAGCTAGTTTCCTGCTAAGGTGGGGACCAGCGCTCATAGCAGCTCCAATCACATACAGCCCTTCTCTGGGGACAGAGAGAACAGGAGCCTGTGTCCCCTTGCCCAGCCAGCCTTCCAGTGACTACCTGCTTTACTGAGTACCGACGATATGCCAGGGATGGTGCTGGATCCTATTCACAGTAATAGTCAATAGCCTAAGCCACCTTATCAATATGCCAATCTGTGGTACCGAGGCTTTTTACACTCCTACCAAAGCTCCTCTTCCTTTTTTTTTTTTCCCCTCAGCATTTACTGCTTTCCTTGGCCAGCCTCAGGACCTGCTTCCTTTGGGATGGAGTCTTAGGTCTTGCTTCTCATCAAAGATACCCTCTTGCCTTCCCTCCTGTCCAGTCTTTGCCCTGGCAGGGACTTAAGCTAATTAAAGGGGGAGGGGATATGATGGAGGTTGCCTTCCAGATATTTGCAAGACAGATTCTCCCAGCTAAGAAGCTTTCCCAAGAAAAATTTCTCAATCTCACCATCTGGCGTAGCTGTGGCGATGGAGCCAGCGGCATCGGTGGTGATTACGTAGCTTTCACTCAGGTAGGGAAATCGGTCCCTCAGCTCCTCCATCAGGATCCTCACCGCGTCCTCCTGCTCCCCACCGCTCAGGGATAGGCCCTAGGCCATGGGGGAGGTGAGCAAGCAAGCAAGATGTAGACCCAGCTCCTTTTCCAACCCCCACCCCTCCTGCTACCTGCCCCCTGATCTCTACATCTGGGCCCTGCTTCTCCAGCCCATCTTCCTTCCACCCGACGTGCTACCCCTTGGAAGATCGTGGCTGTAGGAAGAACCTGGACAGGAAATGGACTGGGGATTCAACGATGCCAAGTGTGGAGCTTAGGATGACAGCAGTGCCCTTAACAGAAAAATTAGGCAGAGGAGCAGGTTGAGGAGAGACAAGCTTGGTCGGGAATACATGGGGTTGGGCTGTGCCTGCAGAACATCTCACTGAGGACGTGTCCAGGGAGAAGCCAAGGCTACAAGCAACTTGGGAGAGAGGCCTGAGCTGGGAAGAAGAGCTCACTTAGTAAGTGCTCATGGGTCAGGGTCTCTGCCAGCCACTTCAGAGTGTGTCATGTCATTTTACTCTCCCAGCAGCTCTGAGGCAGCTCCTGTTCTCTGCACTTTCCAAACGAGGAAAAGGAGGGTCACAGAGATGCTGAGTGACACACCAAGGTCGCAGTGGCTCCCCAAAGCCCGGTGCTCTTCCAATCGTTATGGCTTGTAGATGACAACTGAAGCCACAAGAATAGGTGAGCTCGTGCAAGTTTCTAGACCAGAGACTAAGCCTCCAAGGTCTTTCCCTCTGCAGTCAAGGTCATCGGACTCATCCAGCTCAAATGCGCTTCCTCAGGGTTGCTGTGACTCATCTCCCAGGCTCCACCCCAGACTCACCAAGCTTCGTAGAGGCACCAGGGGATCCACTCCTGCTTTCTGCTTGGCCCTGCTCACCATCTCGTTGATCCTCTCCACACACTTGTCTGTCCCGATCAGCTGGCCCCAGCCAAGGGAAGGAGGAGTTACAGAGGCCTGCACACCTGTGCTGCCCCTACAGGCTGCTACCCCTGACCAGGAGTTACAGAGAATAAAACCACAACCAAGCCCCTCCGTGTGGCCTTTACCCAGTGATTTGTGCTGAGTCCATCCGCTTCTGCCAGGATCTGCCCATCCTCTGAGAGTAAAAGGACCTTGGACTGTGTTCCTCCCCTACAGAACACAAGTCTTGCTCAGAAAAAACCTGAAGGTACAGCTAAACTTGTGCAGTCCCTGTCACAGAGCCCGTGTGATAGAGACTGCTCCAGTTAACCCAGTCACCATCCCCAAACCCACCCCGGTGGTTTGGTGGCTGTTTGTGCTCCTGGAGTCTAAGAGAGGTCCTGCCCAGCTTCCCCTGGGGACATCCTACTTATCCTGCAAGGCCCTACTTATACGTCAGCTAGTCCTTGAAACCTCTGGCGTGTGGCCCACGCACATAGCTCCATTAGCTAAGCCAAGTCAGTGCCCCCAGAACTTTTAAGGGTTCCTCTGTATTGAGTGTATTCAGTGTTTTTCTGTCTGCCTCTCACTGGACCACAAGTTCCAAATCATTTATCCTCACCCCTAGCACAGGCAACACTCACTCAATGTGACGAAAGAGAACGGCCCATCTCTGCTTCTCACAAAAGCTGAAGGCTGCCTGTCAAGATCCAGCCCCAGCTGCCAAGGTCTTGAAGACACCCTGGTGAGAAACACTGACCAGGTGGCAGGGAGTTCGTATGCAACTAAACGGTCAAATGCTTACTCCTGGGGGAAATGAAAGTTTGGAGGGAGGTCTGTGGTGGTGTGATGTATGTTTCTATACCGATCGGTACTTTTGAGACTATCAGAAGAGGACACTGAAGACCTGCTGACCAAACTAAAAAGTGACAAGTTTCAAGGGGAAGTTAATGCATGAGGTTCAACACGGGAAAGAACCTCTTGACAAACAGGGTGGGGTGAGGGGGGGTGTCATATCTTATACATATAACAGGGATGAATCCAAACTCTTGTACTTAGGTTTTTGTTCTTGTTTGTTTGTTTTAAAAAAGGGGGCAATAGTTACAGGATAGGGAAGATCAACTTTAACAATGCATGTGAAAAAAACATGGTGGGGTCCATGCGCGAGCAGAGATGTGGCTGCCATATAAGTAATCCAATTCAGATTCCAAGGTGCCCTGGCTGAGGCAACAGCCACCTCTATTATGCTCTGATCTGATGCACCAGGATTCGGAGAATGTTGTCACTGGCAGGAGACTTGGCGATCATCCCCTTCATCTCTCTTCTCACTTTATACACAAGTGGGAACTGAAGCCTATACTGGGTAAAAGTCTTGCCTCTACAAAAAGTCCAGGAGACAATCTTCTGAGCAGGAAAAATGCAAGAATAACAGGGCTCTTTCCAGGGTCAGGAGCCTGGAGGGACCAGGCCGGGCTAGCACCCTGGTTCCAGCGGCCCCAGCTCCCAGACACCCTCTGGCAAAGATCTCTGTCCCGGCTTCCACCCACTCTCCCTCCCCACCCGCCAGGCCAGCAACTTCACACCTAACACCTGTTCTGCAAAACCCTCCAAGGGGTCGGGAATGGGGAACAGACGAGTGGGTCGTTCCTGGGGAAAGGGGCGTGGTC